CAAGTCGTCCAAACTATGACGGTAAACTACATACGGCAGAAAGGCCTCTTGATCGGGACGTTTTGAACAGTGTGGAACCACCTCTTAAATGCTGTTGTTTCAAGGTCCACTTTTTAGGGTCCCATCTATGGGCAAATAGTTGACCCCAAATTCGGGTCAAAACATTATAAAAATATAAATATAGATTTTTTCGTAATTTATATATTTTTTAGTATATTTTATAGTAGTAGTATACCAGCAATATATTTTAGGGAAAAAATATTACCAGCAATACATTTGACTCTTGATAAAAACCCTCTTTACAAATATACGTCAATGAAACCTGATCTACAAAGAGATTTCTTACAAAGAATACATATTATATTCATAAGCACCTATCCTAAAAATCTCATCGGCATTAAATAACCCAAAATCAATTAATCAATCAGAATCAGGAAAAGACAGCTGAAATTTCTTGGATACATATTAAGGAAGGAGCACTTGTAAAGCAGACTTCACAAAGCATATTCACAAAGGCAGCGAGCTATTTACCTGAAGAACCTGTGTGAATGGACAGCGGAAAATAGGATGGGGGCTGAGCAAAGAGAGAAAAACTGCTACGATGGGTAGGAAGATGTGAAGAGCCGTCATCCGCCATGTCCCGAAGAGACACGGCACAGAGAAGAAGAACGGAGACAATTCCAAAGATGAGGGTAATAAGATAGCAAAAGTAAAGTGGAGAAGGTACGAAGATGTATATGAATTAATGCTGTTGATCTTGTTGCTATGACGACGTCAATTACGTCTGCTCTGGATGTCACTGGGTGTAAGTTCATCAGGTGAAACTGATGTACAAGGCGTAACGCCTTGTCAGATATTTGTCGGCTCGCTAACACAGACAGCAACAAACATCCAGCTGTAAAACGATGATGCCTACAACATTAATGGATTGAAATTCTAAGCCAGTTATTCGCTCGACTGGCCGTAGACTCGTATCATTACTGATGCAATCAACGACATCAGAAAGAAACACTGTGTATATATTTACCCATTGAAACAGCGTAAAGTGGTGGGACGATTCAGTACGCCATGATTAAACATCTTTATTCTCTCTTAATTTTGGATAATATCACTTTAAATATTTTTCATACTCTCCTCTCAGCATGCAGGCGACCACGATTACACTTATTATGATACTTTTATTTTTTATTTGGGAACTTACTTCTGGAGAAAGATCGCCTTGTGGCTTGCTGTTTGTGTAAAATACAGTCTCAAATTGGATGTTATCCTTTTTCTAGATCCGTTGCCACCTAAGGATAGATTGCTATTTAATCCAAATCTGAAGGAAAAAAAACGGCTATGTTAGAAAGGATCGACCTGTGCCGTATGTTCGAGAAAAACGACCTGTGTGCCATCGGGTAGATGAATGAGGCATGTTCCATCTTGGAGACTAACGATATGTGCGTCATCACGGAGACAATATATGTACTTTGCCAAGAGGAATACTAACCATTTACTTTGCGTTTTATGGATATATATATGTTGATAGCAATTATTTGGATATTATATCCAGAGAACTAGTTCTGTTTTTTTTTTCTCAATTTTAAATTTGTATAGTCTACGCTCACCAATGTATTTATATTTTGGTTCCTAAGATTTCACACGAGTGATTCCTGGTGTTTACACTAGGTGTCTTTTGACTTTTTCAGATTTCTGGGTTATCTTAAGTTTCCCTCGTTTTTTCAGTTCCATTAGACTTTGTGGTATGGTTTCAAGATTGTTTCAAGGAATATTAGTATTATCGCTAGTACAACTGACTTCATTTCCTAATATCTTTTCAGTCCTCTGGCGCTGTTTTGACTTGTAAATAGTATCTTAGTTGTTATCACTTATCGTCACGAAATACCACACCTTGTTAAACGGAATCGTGGTGTCGTTTTCTAGTTGGAATGTACTTTCTTTTTTTTTTTTATCTTTTCCGCAGACTATTTTTTCGTTGCTTTCTTTCTATCCAGTTAAAAGTATTACTAATAACCGATATTCCCTGAATGTATAGATCTACACAATTGAAAAGTTATCACGGTAATATGACGAAAGATAACAGAAAATAAATTCAATCTTATGATTTTTAGAGTGTGGAGAACTGGCCAATTCAAATTTGCTAGAAGAGATAAGAAAAAAGAAACAAAAAAACAAAACAAAAAATAACGATGTCACCTATTTCAAATAAAATATCTTGAATATTTAAAACCAAATGAGTAAACATCACACTTGTGATATATATCTTTTATTTAATATTCACAACAAACTTGATAACTTCTCCCAAAACTACATCTTTCTATCATGGTATGTTTATTATTCATTCCTCAGGCCTCCAAGGCAGGTGATAATGACACTAAGACGCATGGAATTATTGGGGGTGAAAGAGAATGAAAAGGCTTTAGTGAGGAGAAAGGGCAATAAAAGAAAACGGTTTGACAAGACAGAAGATGACGATTGATATAGCATTTAAATTTTGGAAGATTGTAGCTTTGGCGGAGAAGTAAGAAACCTGAAAAGATCTTATTGTTACATTTAGTTATTTCAAGAATAAAACGGTGAAACCTAGTTGCCAATCAAGCAGTACGTTTAGATTCATGGAATCGAGGTACCATAGAGAAAAGTTCTAAAGAACAATTGCGGCGAAAATATTTATAGAAAAGTCAGAGAGAGAGAGAGAGAGAGAGCCGTGTCACGAAGGTGGAAATGCGACTGGAGCCGAGATGCCAGGTCAGTGCAGATAACGTGACAAACCCTTCTTTGGATTTTGTCAAGAATCTTGAGATCAATAACAGGATCACAGAACCTGATATAGCAGTGGTGATATTCAAGGCACGGCCGAATGGTAGATTTATAAATGAGCATGGTAGATTCGGGCTAGAAAAATCACTACTCAGTCGTAATTGATCTAGAGAGACAATCTTACTAACCATTACCCCATGTCAAAGTGTCCTTGCCTGGGGTGAAATGATTTCAACTGTAAACGCAAAATGGCGTAAATCGAATTTTCATAAAGCAAAGATAATCGTACAAGAACAGTCTTGTTAAGGTACGTCATTTCAATTTTGTTAATATGATGTATGTAATGTTCTTTGTATTGGTGGAGAATAAAGTGTAGACCCATTACTAAAGGCGTATTGTATGCCTACCTTCAAAAACAGCTTTAGAAAATCTAGAATATAATCGAATTTCAATATACATCTCCGGCTCTAGTGTGGAAGACGTTCGACCTAATCGACAAAGCAGACGAAGTAAAGAAATCATATTGCATATGGGTGTGGGCTCAATTTATCAGATATGTACAATGGCTCAATGCACTTAAAAAAAAAGCAATGAATTTTTCGAATGTAAAAATCAGTAAATATGAATGCTACATTGATTAAAGAGGCGTTTAACATTAAGGAGAGTCATTACAAAATCTATAAATGCATTGATAATCAAAAACAATGAGAATAATTAGGAAGATTATATTGGAATATGTTGCCCAATATTTGTTTCAAACGAAATCATCCGTTTTGTTCTGTCATTCGAAAAAGGACCTTTAGTTCGGCCAAACAAGTGAAATAAAACGAAAACGCTGCTTTCTAATTAATAATAAAGACCTAATTGATGTTTCATCTTAGGAGAACTTGTTTTTAATAATTTCAAAATTATTTGAGATATTTCAATAACAAACGTTTCTATTGATCAGGGTTTTATTTTTATATTATTCTGTTTGTGTCGAGTGTAGTCATTAACTGCGTTTCTTACTCTCCCCATAAATGATTTCCTCATCATATAAAAATCTCAGTCTTTCTTTTTCTATCTCTCTCTATATATATATATGTGTGTGTGTGCGTGCGATAAAGATATAGATTTTAGGTATGCTATATTTATGTGTAAAAGTTTCAGTATCAGAGATAGATCTTACGTAAATATGGAAGGTCAACATTCAGCAGCGATACTGTTTCCTGTTCAGGTCACACACACACACATTATATATATATATATATATATATATATATATATATTAATGACATCCAAACGATTTACTTTATACAGGTGATCATTTCGTCCGTGGGAATGTATTTTTTTTCTCTGGACTTATTAATGCTAAAATTTTAGTACATTAGAAAATACATTTTAGTAAATGCATTTGCATTGATAACTTCAGTGAAAGATTACTTTCTCATGGACGAAATGATCCTCTGTATGAGGTAAATCGTTTGGATCCCATTAATTATAATTCAGTTATATACTCTATAATAAAAATTATATTGAGTTCTCTTTTGTGGATCAGTTTTAATGTTTTATATTAATAGGATCTATTTGGATTACATACCCACGGATTTTTTTTTACATACACAAACACACACACACACAATATATATATATATATATATATATATATATATATATATATATATATATATATTATAAAATTATCAGGGATATTTTTTATTTTTGTTTTTTAACTGGCTGTATGTGTTATGTGCTGTGTTCGGAAAATAAAACATCCCTATAACACTAGAAACATAAACACAACCTGTGCACCTAGTTAAAAAGCAAAAATAAAATTATCCTTGATAATGGCTAAAAGCATAACAGAAAGCGATCGGAATGACCGAACATTTGAACAGTTTCTACAAACTCTGTATCCAGAAAAGTAAACACTTGCTCGAACACAAGAAAAATTAAATCAAAAGCCTAATCTCCGTACCTTGTCTGACGTCTTTAATGAACATGTATAAATATATAAAGTTGCTTGTGTGTTTCAGAGTTGCAAGCATGTATTTTTAGTATATGTCCACGTACCGTAAATGTTTGAATAATTGTGGATAGACATGACGGAAGGTAGATTGGTAGGTGTTTGTAATTTGTTTGAGCAGGTGTCCGAATTTAAGTGGCCCACTTAGCATTGGTTATTTGTGGAAACTAGTTATCTTCGTCAACACCAAACCTATTTTTCTGTCCAGTTTGATACTTTCAAAATTCGAACGACATTAAACGAAGAGAGAGTTAGCTGCACGAAAATTTGTCATGAATGTTTCATGGTTTCCAGAGATAGCAAGGAAAAGAAAGAAGACAAAGTGAATAAAGCGATAGAGAGACAGAATAAAGGAGGAAAAAGGAGAATGAGGGGTGGGGGGAAATGGAAAATGTATGGATGATAAGGAAGAATTCTGTTGATGGTAAAATATTTTGGAAGTTTTCGTTATATTCGTGGATACGAACTGATGTTTACCACTTGAAATGTAGCGGAGAGACGGCAGGAATTGTCTAGCGAATAATACATTGGAGTCAAGTAGCATTTGAGAATATTGGTAAGCAACCACGGGGAAGAACTTCTACTACTATTACTAATAATAATAGTGTTAGGGATTAGGAAATATGGGAAAAGATAAAGAGATTTCAATGGGAAGGTTAATTTAATTGGGGGTCTAAACAAAGAAAGAGAAACAAGAGGAAAAGGAAGTCGAAGATCAAGAAAAAGAATAAGAAAAAAACTCGTAAAGGAGGGGACATGGATGTCCAAATGTAGGAAGACGAGAAGGGAAAAAAGAAGAAAAATGAAAAAAGAAGATAAGTGTGACAAAAAAATATGAGACACAGAAGAAGAAAAGAGAAAAGAAAATGTTGAAATGAAGAAGAAAAGAGAAAAGAAAATGTTGAAATGAAGAAGAAAAGAGAAAATCGGATGGATAGAAGAAAATAGGAAAAGGAAGAGAGAAGAAGAAGAAAAGGAATTGAAAGAGTGGAAACAAAAAGAAGTAAAATGGGAAATAAAAAAATGAAGACCAGGAGTAAGAATATAGATAAAGAGGATTAGGAGGAAGAAGAAAAGGATGACGAAGAGGAACAAAGGAAAAAAGACGGAGAGGAAGAGAGAGAGAGAGGAAAAAAGACGGAGAGGAAGAGAGAGAGAAAAAAAAAGATGATAGAGAGACAGATGAAGGAAAAGAGAAAAAAAAAAGGAGAGGAGAGAGAGAGAAAAAAAAAAGACAGAGATGAAGAGAGAAAGAGAGGAAAAAGACAGATGGAGAGAGAGAGAGGAAAAAGACAGATGGAGAGAGGAAAAAGAGATTGAAAATAGAGAAAAAAGACGGAGATGAAGAGAGAGAGAGGAAAAAAGACGGAGAGGAAGAGAGAGAGAGGAAAAAAGACGGAGATGAAGAGAGAGAGAGGAAAAAAGACGGAGAGGAAGAGAGAGAGAGGAAAAAAGAGGAGAGAGAGGAAAAAAGACGGAGATGGAAGAGAGAGAGGAAAAAGAAAAAAGATAGAGAGAGGATGGAGAGAGAGGGAAGAAAGACGGATATAAAGAGAGAGAGGGGAAGAAAGACGGATATAAAGAGAGAGAGAGGAAAAAAGACGGAGAGGGGGAGAGAGAGGGGAAGAAAGACGGAGAGGAGGAGAGAGTGTAGAAGAGACGGAGAGGACGAAAGACGAAAAGGAAGAGACAGAAAGAAACACGAAGAGGAAGAAAGACAAAGAGGAAGAGAGAGAAAGCAACACGAAGAGGAAGAAAGAGATACGAAGAGGAAGAAAAAGATGCGAAGAGGAAGAGAGAGGAAGAAACACAAAGAGAAACAAAAGAAGAAAAACGAAGAGGAAGTAGTGAAGAAAGATAAAGAAAAAAAGAAGATGAAGAGGAAGAATGAGGAATGGTAAGAGAGACGAAGAAAAAGAGAAAAAAGACGACAGGAAAGAAGAGAAAAATGACGGAGGTGAAGAAGTGAAGATAAAGGAAAAGGAAGCAAGAGAAGAAGACAGGTGAAAAACAAGAAGGACGAAGAGAAGAAAGGCGAAAGGAAAAAATAGGAAGAAAGGCGAAGAGAAAGAGAGAGGAAGAAGCCGAAAAAAGACGAAAGACAAAAAGGAAGAAAAACGGAGAAGAGAAGAAGACGAAGGAGAAAAAGAGGAGAAAGACGAAGAAAAAAGAGGAGAAAGTCGAAGGGGAAGAAGTGAAAGAAAAGACGAAGTGGAAAAATAGAAAGACGAAAACTAAGATGAAGGAAAAGAAAGTTAAAGCTGAGATGAAGAAAATGAAAGCGAAGATAAAAAAAAGGAATAGAGAAGAAAAGCAGTTAAAAGAAAAAAGAAAGAAGAAAGAGTAAGAAGAAAAAAAAAAAAGTAAGAAGAAAAAAGAAAGAAAATGTTAAGGAAGGTGAGAATATTAATCAGGTGCAAGTCCGAGCGGAGGAAATACAGATAAGGAAGACAATAATGCGTCAGTTCTGCAAGAAGTGCCTGTGTGATTATGTCGAAAAGCTTTATTCGAAATCCTCTCCGAGATGTCATAGATTTCAACAAAACTCGGCCGGTGATTCTGACAAAGTTGGGAGAATCTGCCTCGAATGTCAGCATTCGAAAGCCTGGCGCTTTGCCTGGTTTTGCACACACAGCCAGAGAAAAAGATCTGGAACCCGCGAGTAGTCCTCATTAACCGAAATATATTTCGATAAAACGAGAAGACGAAAGAAAAGTAGTCATAGGACGCTCAATGAAGATTGTGTTCCCTGTCATGTTTGGCAAGACAGATTTCCGAACCGTTAAGGCAAAACGAGGCAACTAATAAATACGAAAGAACGTGGAAACGGAACGGCGAAACGAATAATGAGATGGATTCGATTTTTACGGCTTATCAACCCTTTGTGGGTTATTTCAAAGCCGAAACATATTTCAGGCTATAGGAGGTCGCTTACAGTGCCTTGCTTTTCCAAGCACTCCCCCATCTAAGTATTCGACACTGCTTTATTTAGGTGATGTGATAAAGAGAAGATCGAATGAAGGATAACAGCAGTGTATAAAATTATCAAGAAGCGGGGAAGACGGAATGAAAGGAACGCTAAAATGAACAAATATTACGAATAAAGTTCTTGTTATAGAATAGAATAATTTCGGAAAAAACACTTTGAAAAGGATAGCTAACTCGAAGGAATGAAAGGAAAGGTTGTCTGTGAAGAAGAAATACGGTTGTTGGCGGTAATTACAATATTGCCAGTTTTGCTATTCTATTCCTTGATCTCATCATCTCAGCTGCCTGTGTGTTTCTGAAAATAAAAACGTACAGGACTAGAGATTCGACCTCAAGATATAGATTATGGCTGGCCTTTTACACTGAATACACTATAGAGCGAGAAAAAAGGACTGACGTGGGCGTGGGTTGCGGTAATAAGGGAAACACGTAGACAAACGGAATGAAAGACGAACAGGAAAAGGAAGTGTTAGAACAAATGAAAAAAGACCGATGAACTAACTAAAAAAAAAAAAAAAAAAAAAGAAGAAATGTTACGGTGAATTGTGTAGATAGATTATATAACATATCATAATGTATATTAGATTTACAATATTATCTAAGTCTGGCACAAGGTCTAACATATAGGTCATCCTTTCAGAGTCAGAATCACTTTAGAAGTAATGATATGTGATTGCAATGTACTGAAAATTGTTTCACAGAGACTGTTTTTTTTATAATGGATTTATATGTACAAAAGATTAATGGAAAACGACTGACAAGGCACTGCGATGAAGTTTCTAATTAATTTTTTTTTCTTGCATTCGTGTAAGTGATTTCTTTTCTGGACAAGCTGCCCCAAACTATACAATATATCCAGAAAAGAAATCACTTGCATGAATGAAAGAAAAATATAATAAAAAGCATCATCGTTTGTACATTGTCAGTCATCTTCAGTAAAACTCGAATAAAAAAGGCTTTGCTACCCAAATACAGAAGTATATATATATATATATATATATATATATATATATATTAAAGAAAAACTGACCAATTTAAAGTTCCATTATAATAATTTATTTCACCAAAACCCTTATAAAGGATCCAAAAGATGAAACGAAATGCCCACTTTTGGAAGTGCTATCTGGTGATCTAGAGTCCATTAAAAGGGCTCGGGTGAAATAAATTATTATAATGGAACCTTAAAGTGGTCTGTTTTCTTTAAAATATTAGCTCTCGATTTACATTGAGCTCTCAGGATTTCATCCTCCTTGGGAGTACCGATACGGATTGCCAAGTTTTTCATAACTTAATTTTATATATACAACTATAAAAGATGATAAATGAAATATGTATATTTATATTTCATATTTAATAATAATTTAAATAATTTAAGTAATTCTGTGACATTTATTTGTTTTAAAAGAAGTATAGTCTATCAGTAATTAAAATTAAGAATATTTTAAAATTGTAGTTCAATATAACGTATTCATAAACAAACCACTCTTGTACAAAAAATCTATGTTTAAAAGTACAAATTAACAGCGAAACAAAAGTGCCCCAAAACTCTTTATCTTTGATAAAGACCAGACGGCATGCGTTGAACGGATCTCATCATTCGTTGGTAAAGGCACTCCTACCCTACCTTGATTTAACGAATGTAACTCATATTTTGATACAATAGTTGTCAGTGAAAATGAATACCCTACCAACCCTTGTTAAAAAGACTGGATATCCCCATATCATTAGAAACTAATATTATGAATATATATGCTTATAAAACTCAATTTTCAAAATAAGTTATTCCAAAATTCGCTTGCAAATGAAACAGGACTAGGGACTTTAAGTTAATTCTATAACTGAATTTGAAGTTTTCAGTTTCTATTTTTGAAACATGGTAATTTCTGTGTAAATGTGATAAACCATATTTTTAAATTAGTAATTATATATATATATATATATATATATATATATATATATATATATATATATATATATGTATATATGTATTTATAGTGTTGGACTCTATTGCCTTCAAAATATATCTAACTCGGAGAAAATAAATTTAATAACCTTTTATATATATATATATATATATATATATATATATATATATATATATATATATATATATATATCCCATGCGATAAATGTAGAATAATAATTGCTTAGTTTCGACAGAATATCACTACTAGCAAGTTGTGTAGATCGAACTCATCACGCAGTAGAAATGATTCGGTCACCATCTAATTAAAAGAAACGCCAAAGGCGTGGCTATTACTCAAAAAGAACAAGATATAACCTGAAGCCTATAAAGGTGGCAAAGTACATTTAGACAAAGTCAGGTATTCATTTCAGAAGATATATTGCTCACTGGTTAGTTCCATAGAGCCGAACAGGTTGAGATTGGTCGATTAATTTATTGACCCATTGTTTGATACGAACTAACTATGTCATACTCGATCAGACAATAACCTCCGCGCCCCGCAAAACCATATCCCCAGGGATCAATAGATAAGTTATATTAGCAAGCTGTTATTATAGATTTTACAAGCGACTGATTAAGGAGTAATGCTTGGATGGTGTCTATTTACTAAAAGAGTGGAAATGTCGAAATTAGTTTTTATTCCGGGATTCAAACAGGAGCTGTCTAATTCTAATGAACTAGATACCAAAATTCTTATTCACACAGGCACAGTATATGAGTAGATATAGAAATAAACACTGTACCTTAACTTGGAAATAACATTGTACACATTTACCAATAAATATAGCACGCCTTAAAACTATATATATATATATATATATATATATATATATATATTGAACAATAAGAAAATAAAAAATTAAAATGTTTAGACACACTGGGTTGTAGATTAATATTCTTTCGTCTTTTTATTATTATTCCATTTAGATTCCTTGACTAGTTTCGACCAAAATGGCCATCATCGGGAGGAGAAATATTTCTGCTTGCTGGTAGCAGTGAACTACAGAAATGAATGTCTTGATGGAGAAAATGAACTTTTGTCTGTAGTTTTCATTTGTTGTTTTATTTTTTTTATTTTTTTAACATGAATCTTTTAACATTCCTTGTGTTGGTCAAACAGTCTCTTTTAAGTTGTTATTTGAGATAAGTGCTGGATAGATACATATTATTCTGAATTCTCTGGTCAGTTTGACAGTTTTATTGGACCTGGTGAGGGGATGTGTCTCTGTTTAGTGTTTGTGTGTGTGTTATTTGGTTCTTAGGGAGTGAGTGAGTATGATATGTGTAAGCATGTGTATTGCTGTAGGTGTGTGTTATCATTTGGCTCATTAGGGATTGAGTGAGTATGATGTGTGTAAGTGTGTATATTCGTGTGGGTGTGTGTATAAGAGTGTATAAGTGTGAGGCCTCATATATATGTGTGTGCGTGTGTGTATGTGAGAGAGAGAGAGATAGAGAGAGAAAGAGAGGCATGGTGGAGTAGTGGATAGCGGATTGAGGAATCGAAGAGCCGAGTTCGAATTCCAGTCGAATCCATTACGTTCACTTTAATGCTAATATGCTAAGGAAAGTTATTAACCCTCTTTTCTCTCCAGCTATGGGTAAAATAGCAGAACAGACTGGATGGCAAATGTCTAGGAGAAGGACAACTCTGAATTCGAAATCTGCAGAGGGTCGTTTGGGAACCTTGTGGCACGTGTACGGCCCTTCAAAAATTGTGGTTGGTTCTGCACAAAGCCTCACCATAATAATCAAAACATGTGCTGGTGTCTGACTGTCGGTTCCTAGGAACGAAGCTGCTTGACCCTCATACGTCGAATATAACGGGTGAGTCCACCATATATATATATATATATATATATATATTGATCGATTATTGATAGGGATCCAACAAAACGATAGGATAAAGAACAAGTAGGAAACAGATCTTAATCTAACATGTTTCACTTTATTAAAACTTCGTCAGAGATCAAAATAGAAATGAGGCGCAGATTAATGGTATGTTGTGTTTGGCCATTTCTTATTGCTTAGATAAGAGTTACATGTATTGAAGTAACATATAATACTTAAATATTCGTGGCAAACATCCTCGACGCTAAAATGTGTAAAAGTTAGTAAGATGTAGTAGGTTAACACACGTTTAAAAACTACATTACATCACCATTTTTCTACAGTCTTACTTATCTCTTCAGAATCTACACACACACCTATATATATATATATATATATATATATATATATATATATATATATATACAAATTAGGCATAAGATATACTAAAATGAAAAATTATTCAATATATCCTGCAGCGTCTCACTAACCTATACTTTCTTTAACATCCAAAATGTTTTCTTATAGGTATTTGAATATTATCTGTTATTCCTTACAGGGAACACGTATCCAATCAAAACGTTCTACTTTCAGTGGATTGTTCCACATTCATTGTCATATATGAGGACTGATATTACGTAACATTTTAGTACTACTTTCTTTGTTTTTAACGAACTTTTCCTGTTTCTTCATACTGCAAAAGTTAATGATGGAAAAAAGAAGATAGGATTAAACATCAATTCCTTACACGAGACTGCAAAATATTCACCGTGTTGAATTGCTCAAGAGAATATAATATAAACCCTTAGCAAGTTGATTATTACTTAACATAAGAATTTGTATAAACTGAATGCTTATATTTAATACATTAGTAATAGTAATATTAGCCGTTTACTTATAAGGAAACATTCAGCATACATTGGCAGAAAATCCAGTGTTGGTGTCGGTATAAATTTATAAAATATTTCTAATAAAACATAACTTTCAGGAAAATAGATTTCTGAATCCATTGATATTAATATTTCCCGTTTTAAAGGGCTTTTGTCCTAAACTTTTGTCCAGCGTAGTGAGTAATGTTAACGTCTTCATCATGTCATTATTTTTTCTTAGAGTTACATGTGATACCCACTTTAGTTGTTGTCAATGTTGAAAATATTCAAGTTATACGCTTTTGGTCAATTGGTACAGTTCTTAGTGATTTCGTATCACCTGTCACAGAAATGGTTGATTCCAAGCCCGACAGCTTTCATTCACTCGAAGTCGTTCTTAATCATTAATCTGAGAAAACGGTAGTATATATTTAGTATGTTAGACATTTCTGAATGTGTTGGGTATCATGACTGAGATCCAAATGAATGTTCTAATGTGAAGAGGCGATTTAAGAACATGATTCGAGTTCTTAGGTTAATGTTAGGATCTTGCAGCGTTGGACAAATCTATCTCGAGAGCAGCCTATTATATACTCAATTTTCTTACCTCCTATACTATATATATATATATTTTTATAACTGATCCATATACTGATTTTTTTGTAGGGCTCAGTGTTTATTAATTCCACATTCTAAATTTTTACAACGAGTTTAGAATAGGTACCATTGCTGCTACCATTCCAATTTTAGATAATATTTTCCATTTTGTAAAATTTTACCATGGGCCACATTTTTTTCGATCACTTTGTAGAGAATGTTATCGTGTACTAAG